GTGTTTTGTTGTTGTGCTTGCTTGTGGGAGAGTGTTGTTACCATATGGGCTGTAGGGTGCTTGGATGAGGGTCGTGTTGTGGTGGTCATTTTGAGGTTTGTTTTGCATGCGGGGGTTGATGTTTTGGCTATGTGAGATGTGGGAGGGTTCGTGGTTGGTTGAGTGGCTGCTTGTATGTGTGAGGTAGATGCGGTTTCTCGGTAGGGGGCCCAGACAGAGCTGTCGGTTATGGGTGTGGTGTTTGCTTGTGGGATGGTGTTTGGGTGTGGTGTAGGGAGGAGTGGTTTAGATGCAGGTGTAGCAAATTTTCGTGTTTGGATTTTAGCCGTGTCTATGTTTATGTGTTTGTTGGCCTGCTGGGTGAGTGTGTGTCTGTATGGGCATTGGTTTGAGAGTGAAGTGTGTTGGGTGGATTTGCAGAGGATGCACCAGGGTGTGCATGTGCCTGGGCAGTCTGTTTGTGCGCATTTTTTACATTTAGTTTTACGGTATGTGCATTGGGAGGCAGTGTGGTTGTATTTGAGGCACTTTGTACATTGCTTAACCTGCTTTATATAGGGTTTGACTTCTAAGTTGGTGTGGGCTCCGAAGGATATGTGTTTGGGGGCTTCAGGGAATTTAGCGGTCTTTTTGAAGTTGATTATGACAATGGAGGTTGGGACCGTTTTTCCGTTTCTAGTTGAGGTTATTCTACGCGTGCTGGTGATTAGGGGTTGAGGGTTTTGGTCTTGGTTTATGTTAGCTTCTGGAAAGTATAATTGTAAGTCCTCAGTATTTTCCCTTGGGTTAACCCTAATTACGCCTCGTGTATATTGTTGCCAATTAGGTGTTTGTTTGATTACTGTGACGTGGAATATTTGAGTTATTTTATTTGCTGCGTTGTAAGATTCTCGGTTAGGGAAGATTATCTGGTATCCTTTGTTGGCTTTTTTAATATTGTTGTAATTTATTTTTTCTCTTTTAAACCAAACTCCTATTTTATCTGCCGAAAGTTCTAGTGAGAGAGTGGTGCCTGAGCCTGCTGAGAAGAAGTAGAGGGCGAAGGTGGTGAGGAAGGCGGCCGGGGAGGGTGTGGGCGATGGAGGTGGAGTGGATGTGTCGAGTTTGCGTTTATTGGTGTTTTGAGGTGGCGAGTTAGCTGGTTTGGTGGGGGTGGTGTGTGTCGTGTTTTCGCCATACTCGGTCGGGACGATGTTTTCGAGTGACCTCCCGGAAGTGTTGTGCGCTTCCGCAGGCGTGGGTGTGTAAGGAGCTGGCATGTCTGCGAGTGTGGCGTTGCGGGTGTCAGTCATGTTGTTTGGGTGTTGTGTTGGAGAGCGTGTGTTGTGGTGAGTGGTGGTGGAGTGGGAGTGGTGTTGTGGGGAGGTGAGTTGGTTTGTTGTTTTTACTTGGTGAGTTGTGTTTAGGAGGCGGAGGAGGTTGCGGTGGTTATTTGTTGTTGGTTTTAGTAGGAGGGTTTGTGAAATGGATTAATTGTTAAAGATTTATTTTGTTGCTGGAAGGCTGGGATTAGGTGAGACAAGTGGAAAGCGGGGATTAGGAGATATTTAGTCGAAGGAGTGGAGGTATGTGAGTGGTGGGCGTGGGTGGTGAGTAGGAAAGAGCGTGCGTTGTGTTAAGGAGAAGGGGGGATTAGGTGTTTTTTTGTTTTTAGGAGTTGGGTCAAAGGGTGTGTTTTAGTGTAGGGCGTGGGTAGTGAGTAGAAATGAGTGCGAGCTGTGTTAGGGAGATAGGGGAGGATACGGTGTTGGTTATTTATAAGAGTTGAGTGTTGTTGTTTTTAAGGATTTAGGGGTTTTGTTATTAATTCGGTGAGAGTGATGTATGTGAATAAGGATGAAAGGATAACGTGATAATTACCGATGATGGAGTTTCCTTTGCTGGCTATCAGGCAATGCTCTGTGCTGGCTTGGGAAGTGTTGCTCGCTTGGCCAAGACTCGATTATTTACAGACCGCTGTCCTATAGCTGGAATATTGCTAGGTTCGGCGTTAAACAACAAACAAACGATGAGAGTGATTTTAAGAGTATGTGAATAAGGCTGAAAGGATAACGTGATAATTACCGATGATGGATTTCTCCTTGGCTGGCTATCAGGCAATGCTCTGTGCTGGCTTGGGAGGTGTTGCTCGCTTGGAGTACAAACTGCAACTATATCTCCTACACCTCATGGGTTTTTGAACTAATCCGATGTTTTCATAGTGGTATCTGATCCTTGAGTTTGTTTTGACTGTTTATACAGGATTACTGTTATAATCCACTTTGATCATTTAACAGGTCTACTCATCTCATTGGTTGTGTAAGTGTGTAAACATTACCTTACCTGATATAATCCAATCTGAGCATTTTAACAGGTCTTCTCATCTCCAAATTTCTGAAGTGTATATATATACCTTAGTAAGTGCTATTGTTTCTCTTTACTTTGATCAACGAAATAGCTTTCACAATGTAAACAGGATCACCTAATCTCCAATTTAGGAATAGGTATATACGTTAGTAATTAAGTTCGTGCCTCAGGCTTCAAAGAGCTGAGTTCACAGAGAGGCGGATGGGACATTCTTCGTGTGCCCTAGCTTGTGGCTGCAGGTGTACACTATCCATTGCCTTGTGGATGGCAAGATGTTCCCAGTCGCCCTTTCCCTACTCCCAAACAAGACCAAGCAGACCTATGTCCGACTTTTCACCTTGCTAAAGGATGTTGTTGGCGCAAGGACTTGTGTAGACCTCTCTCCAGACATCATCCAGAAGCAGCTGTCATCAGTGCCATCAGCGATGTCTTCCCAGCAAGTTCCGTCAGAGGATGTTTTTTTCCACTACGCCCAGGCTCTGCGGAGACAAGTTGTGGACAGAGGCCTGGCCCGAGACTACACCGACAACCCAGCAGTGCAGACCAACATCGGATGAGCTGCAGCGTTGCCGTTTCTACCCCTAGCTGAAGTCCAAGATGCCTGGATTGAAGTGATGGAGCAAGGACCTGATGGGCAACAGATCACCAGGTTCAACGACTACGTCACCAGCACATGGGTGGACTTCAATGCCACGTTCCCTCGAGCCCTCTGGAATCAACACAAGAACACCGGTCCACGCTCCAACAACCATCTTGAAGGTTTCCACAACGGCCTGAAGAAGAGAATGCCAAGAGACCATCCGAACATCTTCCAGTTTGTCAAAGAACTCAAGAAGATCGAGACAGCAGATAGATGGTCAAGAAGGCAGATTGGACTGGGTGGTGCCATGAGACCTCGTGCTCGTGTTGACAGAGACCGAGATGCAAGGATCGAGAGACCGAAGCAGCAGTTTGCTACAGGCAGAAGATCAGTGATCCAGTTTATGGATGCAGTTGGACATTTCATCAAATTACAGTAATTTTGCTAGTAATGATGTAGTCCTAATGTTATAAAACATGAAGATGATGGATATAGATGTGCAGTGCTATGATAATACATGTGTATTTATGCTATTTGATGCTGTGAAAACATTTGAGCTGTGAAGATAAATGTACAGAGCTATGATAATACATATGTATTTATGATATTCGATGTTGTGAAAACATTTGAGTTGTGAAGATGATCTCAAAATGCAATTTCAGAATCAAAAGTCATTTACATTCTTTGTTATCTTGGTGGAAGAGTTCATTTTACTCAAGGGATAAGGGTACAAGTGTGATGTGCACTCATCCATAAATTTGTTTTGATGGTAGTGTAGGCCTGATGAGGTGTAGGCCAGATGAGGACAGGCCATTTCCCCATCCACCATGTGTATTTAGGCTCTCTAGGTCCCTTTAAACAAACAATATAATTGTGATAATGTGAATTCGACTTAAGATTTTGTTCTGAACTTTTGCTATGGTGCGCTGCCTGAATGTGATAAAACATCACTGATTCGTGCGGTTCTTGGTGCACTCCTGCACAAACCACACCCCCCTGGAACCGGGTAACGTTGCTACATAAGTGTAATAATCTTGAACGCGAAGTCAAACCCCAATATTACCACATCTGGATTCGTGTATGTTCAGTAGTCCAAGAACCAGTCCAGATATTGGGGTGGGGTGTTTAATCTGATGTTTTGGAAGTCATATATCCACAGATGAAAAGACAACTTTGAAAACAATCCGGTACTCACAGCATCGTGGTAGTCATCACCACATAAAGGCGGACCCCTGAGTCGAATCTGAGGAACCATCTGAGGAAGAATGTTACAAGCAATAGTCACATAATGACATATGGTACGCCGTGATAAAACTGGAATACTGTGAAAAGCGGTGTTTAACCCAACTCACTCAAAATGTTTGATTATGAAATACAGTAATAAGGTAGTTATGTAGGTCAAAAGGTCACGAATTGTGACCCCTGCCTAAAATCCTACCATCTGTCAGAAGATACACTGCAGATACAACACAAATGGAACTTTCATAACCCAAATGGATTATAATTGAAGCCAAGAAGTCTGAAAAGTGAATTTTTTTCTTTTGTGGTGTGGTGCAGAACGGTGTTTGGTGCAATTTAAAAAAAAATTCATTTAACGCCAAAAAAAGCAATATTGTATGAAGTTGGACATTGTAATGTGTTTGCATGAATCGAAAACTCATCACTCCAAATTATAACATCCATGTCCTGGATGTATTCAGAAGTAGTTGAAGGTGAATGGTTATGATTGTTTGGGCACAGAAGCTGAAATTGAAGGTCAAAGTGAGGTCAAATCTAAATATCAACCTAAATAACATAAAATGCAACTATCTGCAAATCCAAATATTTGATATAATCACACAATTAGACTGTCAAAAACTAGTTTTATCACATTATTGTTAGAGACTGAAGACTTGATAAACAAGCGTGGTCACAAAGGAGTCTCCTGCAATATAGGCCAGCGTTGATTAATAATAATCATCATCATCATCATCATCATCATCACTCTCTTCAACCTCATGCTCAACTTGCTGATTGCTACATGTCTGTAATTTGCAAAGGTATATACACTTCTGAGCGGTTCTTTACAGCTTCCAACTGCAGATGGCTGATCCATCTTTGTGGTCAACGATGACAGTGAGGGGCGTATGTGCGATCCTTGTGGTGCTCCTGGGACAGTTTACAGTGGGCTGTTACTATTCCTTAAATGTGACGTTGGTAGCCATGAAAGCTACGTTCAACTACTCTCAAACTGAAGGTAAATATAATATGAATGCCTTGCGATATCCGTATTTGCTTAAAGCGCTATACCTATTGAGGACGCCGGGAAAGAGTCGTTTCCAAATAACCTTAGTAAGTCGACAGAAATGATTCGGATGCTCAGGATCGTTGACTTATGTCGACGGCGCGAGGCGTTGCCCATTGTTGAGCAGCTGGTTTGGCTGACCAGGACTCGATAATTAACAAGCTGCCGGAGTATTAATAGCTGCGTCATTATGAAGGTAACTATAGTTTTAAAACGATAAGTCCAAACAAAATGAAAGCATACAAGAATGTATATTCTCGTATTGCTGGTTGAAAGCATTTTGCAGGTACTGGTATTCGCGAAAAAGAAGGGGAAGCATGTTCTGCCATTCTGTAGCAGCCATTGTTTATAACATACAAGGCCATTGTAGAGACTGTTTGCCCTAGAATTAATTTTACCACCGCCTGCGTAGCCAATAGATGTGCACAATTGGGGGCGCCGTGCAGAAAAGGTTCCCAGTTGTCAGAGCATAAACGCCGATTAATGTTGATCGCCCACAATTGATTACTGCGTCCTGACTGACTGTGTTCTCCTATAGAGGAAATCGTAGTATGTCATACAGTCCCTGAAACAAAAATATCCGATACAGCCCATGTTTGGCAAGTCTAGATTACTACATTCTGAAAATGAAGTATCTAATCTCCATTTTATTTTATTTGAAAACTAAAAATTATCAACCGTTACGGTTTCATTTCAGCGACTAGATGTTAATCGTAGGGGATCGTTGCTCGAGCTATCAGTCTTTTGTTTGCCTTGGCACATTCTGACATTTTCATTCCTCCGTGATAAACATTCATTATTACAGCCTCTTTCACTGTGAATAATTTTTGGCTTCATGGCATCATTTATTGTGATGAACATTGGCATGGATAGAACCATACTATATGCGTTAGTCACAAATAACGCCCAAAGCCTCCGATACGGTGTTCTGTCACAAAACAATACTACAAAAATAAATTAAATGATCAATTATGGTAATTTCTGTCACGCTGAATTTCCCTTTATCATTATTAATAATTAATATTTATGAACGATGGCTGTACGAACGACAGATGGCTTGGCCTTCAGCACAAATATAGTCTTATAAAAAAACACCGCAACGGTGATTTTAGATTTATGTTCTATATATCATATAGAGCATCAACAAGGTTATGTATATCGTGTATAGTCGCCATTAGATTCCAAAACTGACTGGCATCGTCGTCCCATGGGAGCAATCAGATCCTGAATTGTTGCCTGGGAAAAAGTTCACCTACTCTGCATGCAGTGCTTGTCAACAAGTGATGTTGCACGTGCATGTAATGTTGGTGTGTTTCGGCGCCAGGCTCCCAAATGGTTGTGTTTTTGCAATTTTTCCATCTTTTCACCAAATTTCTGCATTATCTCATTCTTACGAGTATACGTAAACGTATGAACTTAATAGAACTGACGGTCCAATAAATAATAGCGACAAAACCGTTTCCATAATCATAAGCAATTTTAGCTAAAAGCAATGTAGATTTCCGACTATACCACGAACATGTGTTTATGAATCACTATCATCAAACAGTGAAGGCATCGGGTGTTCGCAAATACACGAGCGGATCCTGCGCCACCTGGGGATCAACAGATTCAGCATTCAACTTCTTCTCCAAATTGAGTGAAGGAATGAACCTGACGCTGTTCAGAGAAGTCTAGCACCATTATAGGACACAGATATTTACAGAATATATAATCAGCATTTCAGGGAGTTTATTTATAGAAAATGAAAATAAATTGTTTTAATTGAAATAATTTCTTAGAATCAAAGGTACTAGGAAACACACATTTTGATACTTCGGTGGGATTTGTAGCAATATAGTATTAAGATTTTGTTGATGACAATGAAAGAAAAACCTTACAAATGACAGTTTTTAAAAAGAAACAGTTAAAAATCTTTAAAATAATTCTTCCCTGAAACCACAGGAATTATACGTTTGACAACCTTGATTATGTAATGTTTATCAACACAATATGTTTCGATATGCTTGTAGGCATAGGTACTTTAGTATAACTATGACAGGTGAAGGAGACTGTCTGATCGGAAATCTATTTAATCGATGGCAATCATTTTAATTGCGATACAACTGGATACCCATGGCATCAGGACCAATCAACATAATCTAAAGTCTATACATCAACCAACAGCGAATTAGTTATTCATTTAGTATCAGGCTTATAATCCCAGAGACAATTCCTTCTAACCTATCAAGGATCCATCCATCAATGATTTATCGATGTATTAATTCGGCTCTGTACCTATTTAATCATATTTTACAACTGTTTAACGAAGGCAAGTTGGTAATAGCAATAACTGTATTCCAGTAACAAGAGGGGGCAGACACCAAATATTGAGTTACAAAATTCGCCTTTATGGAGACAAGAACGCTTTGAAATACATATATATGTATATGATATAAACACCAATACAGAATTAAATAAGGATAAAAGAGAGAAATATGACATTAAATGTGCAATGTTTTTTCAGTGTCTCTAGTCATGTCCTCATTTCTACTTGGATTCGGATTTGGAATGCATTCAGGGGCCGTGCTGGACAGGATTGGACCAAAGTGGACCTCGCTAATTGGCATAGCTCTCACCGTTCCTGGCCTTGGGCTTATGTACATCGCCTCTGTGACTGTTGAGTTCTTCCGTGACAAATCATGGCTTCTGGCTATTTTTGCTTTCATTGCAGGTAGGTTATTAATATTCATTTGTGGGAACCTTCTTTCCTGTACAGAATTCAAAAGCAACATGACACGATTCGATTAACAACATATTTCATCAATAATACTGCTTACGGCACAAACATTTTAAATATGGGTCAGATATATACACATGCACAAAAGTTAAGCGCCACTATATTCATAATCTCTTGATTTCACGTGTGGGAATCAGAAATACGAAATATGATGATGTAAGACTGAATTAGGCTTCCATAGTTTAATGAACCCAAATTTGTCCAGATACCACAAGGAAAGCGTGCGTTACGTGGTTGCATTTTGCTCCTGTGTGAGATTCCCCTTCCAATAGAGGTTGAAAATCAGCCATGGTGAGGAAAAAGTTAAGGAACGTTGAAAGATGGCAAGTGATGGGCATGAAAAACGTTTGCATATCCCGAAGGGCCATTGCAAGACAAATGGGTCGTCATCACAGTGTTATCACTCGTTTGATTGTCAAACCTGGTCAAACCAATGATGTCAATGACAGGCATAGGTCTGGTAGGCCAAGAAAGACCTCTAACAGAGAGGATAGACGTCTTTTCAGGATAGTCAGACGAAATCCATTTGCCACTTCAACAGATTTAAGCCTGAAGTGGATTACCCATCAGAGACTCTCGATGATGACCGTAAGGCGTCGCCTCAGAGCGGCTGGTTATAACGCCAGAAGGCCAGTAAAACGTCCTCAACTGACTGAGAGGCACATGCGGAATCGTCTGATATGGTGTCGTGCCCGTAGTCGATGGAACTTAGCCAACTGGAGAAGGATCCATTGGTCTGACGAGTGTCGAATGCTGCTACTAACTGTTGATTGTCGAATACGTGTTTGGAGGCAACGTAACACTCGTTTTGCACCAAGGAACACCCAGAAGACCTTAGTATGTGGCGGGGGGTCTGTCATGATATGGGGTTGTGTTTCCTTCGGCTGCAAACTTCCGCTGTTGACAATTCGTGGAAACCTGAATGGCCAACAATACCAAGATGCCGTGTTCTTCGTCCAGTGGTAGTCCCTCATTTTGAGAACCATCCTCTTCAGACAAGACCTGTTTACATGGACGACAATGCTAGACCACACAGATCTCGGGCAGTTTTGGCTTATTTGCGTCAAGAAGCTATTGCCACTCTTCCTTGGCCGACCTGTAGTCCGGATCTTAATCCGATTGAACATCTCTGGGACATTCTTGGCCGAAAAATCAGACATCGTGATCCCCCAGTTCAAAATCTCGCTGGACTTTAAGCCGCACTTCATGAAGAATGGATCCGTTTGCCTCAGAGAAGCATTCAACGACTTGTAATGAGTATGAGGCGTAGGGTTGAAGCTGTGGTCAATGTCCGTGGATCATACACACGTTACTGACGTTTCTGTCTTGCAATAGACTCTGCACTCCCTAGGGTGTCTATGTGACACCTGATATGGTCTGCTGATATCATGACAGTTACATGACAAAAAAGTTTTTCAAAGTTTTCTAATCCTTCAATTTCTGGTCTTCGGTAAAATTCCATTCTACTCATATTCTTTTGGAACACAAGATAAACTTTTGCATCACATTAGGTTTACATATACGGCTTATAACAATCTTACATCTCGTTATAATAGTCATCATTAAGTGTCAAAAGTAACAGCTCGCAAATATGGTGGGTGGCGCTTAACTTTTGTGCATGTGTATAATTACTCTGGCTACAACAAATCAGATGTCGCTCCATGTACACTATTTATCTCCGACGAGTTGGCTGAGGCACTGCAATGTTATCGGGATAAGCAGGTAGTTCGAATCTCGATTCGAATACCCGTGCTCGCTAGCTTCATTACACACATAATTATAGTTTATTGCTTGTGACGTGCGTCACTTTCGGCACGATCCATACCTTCACTTTCATGCCCGGCTCCTGGCCCGTCACCCCCCAAAAGAAAATAAAGAATTAAGAAGACGATATGATCAGATGGCGCAAATCTACAATAGAAACTATTAGCCGCGCGAATCTGTAACGGTGCGCATTATTCATAATTTTATCCGTATACTCACACATATCTACGACACAGAAACACACGAGGGTAATAATCTCTCGTTATATAATTAGTTTTTTCAAAGACTTCGAAGTTTTAAACATACTCAAAACATGCGAGAGTGAACCGCCATTTTTAATATACAGCTCCAAATGTAATATCACGCTTTGAATAATTATGCTTTAATCCATGGATTTGGCACATTATATAAATTTGCACATTATCATTGAATACAGATTAAATTAAATGCAGCAAAGAGGGTTTGCGTGATCATGGCATAGAGAGGCCGGTTAGGCTCATCATCAGCCAAGGGCCCTTGACCCTTCTACACGCAGCCCAGACAGCGAATGTGACTTCTCCCAGGAAGCGCTGCCTAGACGAACCCGCCCAGAACCTAGCCTAAACATGCAGCCTTCTACATTTCCCAGATTGTCAGAAGGGCTGTATTTCTGGCAGCAAACGTGGGTACTCTCCCAATGTCAGTCAACAGATTGGGAGGTTCCAAACCTAGGCACCAAGAACAATGGGGAGTCGACCAACTTGGATTATTTCATAATCGAGGTCCGCATATTTGCCATGTTTTTCCCGAATCTTGTCAATCACATTAGTGTCAAAAGGGACAGAAAATTCCATAATATAAATAATTCCATTGGATTTATCAAAAAGGACAAGATCAGGTTAATTTGTTGGCCTGGATAGGTCTGAGGCTGTATACTGGCCTATTCCAAAGAATTTTGTATTTATCATTATCCATGACGCCCTCTACATATTCTTGGAGGTGCCATGGGTGGACCTCTTTGTTAAAACCACAAGCATGGCGAAGACGGTAAAGACATGATCGAGCCACTACATGATGTCGCTTAAAGCCCCAACATGAGATCAGCCTAATCGAGGCGTCTTTGGTTTCTAGCATCCATGACATATCTTGATGATGTTGTTAGTCTATTTTTGTTGAAACTTTCAACGGAAAACGTGTCCATACAATGAACGTAGTCGTCGGTATGTTTATTCACAACAGTACTTTTCAAAGCTTGACACAGAAGTAGCTCAGCCTTTGGTTCACAAATCAGTGTTTTGAATGATTCATAGTGCGCGTCGAGTCTACATCTCGACCTTTCTGAACAGTTATTATGGATATTCTTGTAATGATTGACCACATTCATAATACTATCGCGGAGCTTGTTAACATCTTGATCGCAGTTCCTAATGCACCAATAAAAATGAGTCTTTGTATTGTGTGTTTGGGACCCAAACACACACACATTTAACTTCCTTTGTAACATTTTTCGTAGCATGCCTTGTGTCATTTGTTGACGTTGTAGCAGGTTGCTCTTCCCTGATAAATTTATTGATGAGCGGATTCCTGTCATGACAATGTAATTTCACATGTACTCCGACACCATTGTCAACACTATCAAGATATTCATAGATACGCTGAATTCCAATACGTTCGTGTTTTTGTGGGCAGGCATTGTCTACTTTTGATACAGTTTCCGTCCTGATAACTTTGTCAGTGTTAGCTCCAATGCAAACAACATCAGTCAAACGAGAGTTCTTCCGTGTGGCATTGCGAGCGTCAGTAAGAATGTTAATTCCATCCATATTCGGGTATGTCACAATTTCTTCTAAAAGTGCATCCTCGCATGATTCAAGACTTAAATCACAAGCTGAACCAGGTCTTCCAATATCAGCGGCTTTCGTAAATCTGTCGTACTGATCGGGTAACATTCCAGACACAAGGTTTCCATTTACCAAATATTTGTTACCAAGATAGGGTAACATGGGCCATATTATCACATGATTTTTTTCACATCGGAAAGTAAAATAGGCAACATGTCCAATAATTTTCATGTCTAATTTCTGAGCAGGAAACGAGCATGACAAACTGTGCGAATAAAGTCGACCACAGAGCTTTTCAAGAGCATTTTCAGAGGCAAAAAACATCTTTTGAATGTATTCATCCGTATTTTCACACTTGCAGAATGAAGAATCACGAGCAAAAGATTTTTCAATTATATTTTCATCGTTTGCGTCATCTGTTAAAACGTTTCCACGGACTGGATCGATATTTTTCTCAATAGAATATGAGAAAGTATTATCGAGAAGTTGTTTGTTTGTCACAAGATCAGGGTTCCCTACTCCAAAAGAAGTTTTGATTTTCTTCGCTTGCTCATAAATGAAATCAATCTCGTCTCTGTTTTTAGCTGAAACGTTAATTTTTCCTTGTGGCGAAGTTTCTCTCTCCGAATTTCTTCCTTTCACAGCCTCCGGATTGTCTTTCGAATATTTTCTCTTAATCCCAATCTTGCAATACCTGTCATTTTTGACAATATTCCTCACTCTAGATCCACAGATCGGTTGCATAAAATCAGCAGACAACAAATAGAGAAAAGCGGGAAATTGGGCGTGGCTTATGTAACCCATAGGGGTGTGACAGGTGACTATCGCTTTTTATAAAAGCGTAACTTTGAGTCTTTTTAGAGAAACTAACTTGAGTTACATATATTATTTCGTTTCCCACAAGTTTTGTTTATACAATACAAAATTGGTCGGTTTTTGATTGTTTGAATGCTATGAATGCCATTAACCATCCAGACCAACACAATCCATTCAACCCGACGTGTATTAGACTACCGACCAACGCTTGGGTCACGCGACATAAGAAACAGCTGCCCAAAACAACGCGCTACCATTATTTTGAGGGTTGTAGAGGGTGCTTTCCATAACTTGAAATTTTGATTTATGATTACTAGCCATGCCTAAATATGCTTATTTGTAATGCTACGAATTCACGGTAAATAATGAAAAAATCCTTAAATCTGTAAATAATCGAGTCGGACCAGACAATCCTATTGATTCGCTTCCTCAGCTGCGATCTACGCAATTGGGATACGATGACTTGCATCAACCAAGTCAGCGAGCCTGACCACCCGATCCCGTTAGTCTCACTTCTACGACAAGCATAGTTGCTTCGTTTGGTTGACACACAGCAGTACAGAACCATCAACAAAATCAACATTGACATTGAGATTATGTCCCACACCCATGGCTCGTTTAAGAAAACTTGTGGAATGCCTTGTTTTCATCATCAGTCGTGACATGTTTCACAAGAGAGTCATCAGACAATTTAATGCGTGCAAAAGTGCACAATACAATTCTGTCAATTCTCCACCACGCCCACCCATAATAATTAGTAAATATAAGCGATTGCGGGAAGAACGAGGGTGGTGGGATCTATTGTCTGACATGATTCATCTCTGAATTTCTTGCTTCGCCCAATACGAAGGGACGGGTACAGCATAAGTATTTGTGGCTTTAACTTTATTGCGAGCATTTAGCTCTGAACTTGCTAGGGGCATCATAATTTTAAGATTGCGAAACCAACTTTGTCAGATTGGTTTATGGATCATAGCACAATCAATTGTATATCTTGCTGTGCTGTACCCATGTCGGGATTTCAGGATTCCAGAAACGCAAGATTTATCGTGTGGATCGGCAGGTCAGGCTCTTATTTAATTGATTGTCATCTTACCCCCAAGGCGTGGATTATTGATATCAATCACTGATTTGTCTGGCGCAGTCTCGATTATTGAAACACTGACGTAATAATAATTTAGCTGGTACATTGTTCAGTGTGTCGTAAACACTAACAAAATGGGACATCTTTTCGTTTTCCTTCAGCAATAATACCGACTTTTACCTGATGAACACTTTGTTCTTCTTCAACTTGCAGGTCAAGGTAGCTTCGTGACCTTCACCGTTACCTGGACGACAGGCGCACGACAGGCGGACCCACGTATTAGGGGGATACTAATGGGTGTGTTCAAAGCCTTTCTTCTCGGGAGTCCAGTTTTCTTCACCTTAATCTACAATGTATACTTCATGAATGGTCAAATTGAAGACGCAAAGAAACAAAACTTTCAAGGTTATATTTTGTTCGTGATGATAATACTTGTGATTGTTGACCTTTTAGCAATCTGTCTGTTGAAAGATGATAACAGTGGAATTACAGAAATTAATAACGGCCAAGAAATGGAAATGGAGAGTGGTATATACGGAACTATCCCCAATGTAATTGACGATGATACTTTGGAAGAAGACAAACCAATGAGTACAATAACAGAGGTGAAGGATGAACTCTTTTCGAGCGATGAGGAAGACGATCTGAAAACCAAATATAAAGAATACTTTTGTTTGGAAAATGCAATGGATGAATATGATCGAGATGATGACACATGGTCTTTTGAAAAAGTTCAGAATTCATACACTTCTGTGGACAAAAAAGACCATTCTGATGAACATGACCAGAAAGATCCTTCCATCAACATGTATTATTCTTTTCCTGACTCAAAGTTACAAAGGGAGTGTGAACCAACTGAAAACAAACACAGATCTGACGCGAATCTATGCAACCATGAGGATAGTTCATCAACATCGTCTGATAATGTCTTGTCCGGAAAAGAAGACGTTCCACTAATGACGCAAAAAGTGTCTGAACATGTTCCTTTAATAAAGCTTCTGAAGACATCATCGTATAACATTGTGCTCTGGAATATCTCATTGAGTTTGATAACTGACACAGTGGTCTACGGTAACATACCCGTCATCACCCAGAGTGCCAACCTGCAATATTTAGATACATCTTTAATGATTGTAAGTCGTGTATGTATCTGCAGCAGTGCGTTCTTTTCTGGCCTCTTCTACAATTACATGAACAATCAACGAAGTATCTATTCTTTGATATTTGTTGCTGTGTTGGCATTACTGTCCGCCAACACGATGATGTTGATCTCCACAGAACACGCTGCCATACTTCTTGTAGCTGCTGGACTTATTGGATCAGCTTCTGGAATACTATGGGTTCTAGGTGCAGGTTTGGTGTTTTCTGTGTTTGGACCTAAAGATTATGGCAGGAACTGGGGCTTTGTTATTATGATGAGTTTCGTTTTATCTGAATGCGTGTCTTTGATTTTCGGGAAGATGTATGACACCCAGGTATCTGAAGCAGATTCACACGTATGCTATGGAGGTCAGTGCACTAAACACTGGTTCATTCTTTTGCTTTGTATATTGGCGGTGTCATTTATACTGAGCTGTTGGCAACTGATCACCACGTGGAAAAGGGCGATTTAGCAATTGTCCTGTTAAACTATTTTGACACTTCACAATCATTTTTACAAAATGTCAGAACCCTAATTTACACAGGAATGAAGAACTTCACAGCACACATTAAGCGACCATCGTCGAGTTCCGGTCATGCAGAAAGTGGTGTTGGCAGTTTTGTGTCTCACTCGTAATCGAGAAGAAAGGAGTGTTACTCCCGGGCATATGTTTATCTCTGGACTATGGTATATATATTATGTAACATACTTCTGCTAAGACCCATCACCATGTAGTCGCTCGTGTTCCTTCGCAACATCACGAACATAAATACCAAAATATACCTATTATGCCTTTGGTATTATTCGCAGAAAAGAGAAGAAGATGTATAATTTCCCAACCGGCAGCACACGCCACTCACACAATTTGCATCCCAATGTATGTAAATAACAATGCCAACAACATTAATGGCTTATTCTGTATTGTCCGTTACACAGTGAAAGCTGTATTTGGTTTTTCTCTGTATTAATGTGTTACCAAAGAAGCAAGCTACTTGTAGTTTTTAGAAGTATAAACACTAAAACAATGAAAGCATGTGCTCCAGATTTGATGTAATAATATAATTTACAGTTATGAAAATCATAAAAATATTACAGTAAAGAGAGCTCTTTATTCATTTAATTTGTTTAAATGCCTTGAGAAACATTTTTTTCCGTCGAAACGGGGCCTTGAGAAATAGGATGTGACGTTGAAATGGGATCCTGTGAAACACGTTGTGACGTTGAAACTGGACCCTGGGAAACTGCTTGTGCCGTGGACACTGGGCTCTGTGAAACCTGTTGCGACGTTGAATCGGGGATTGAAGAAGTAGGTTGTGACGTTGAAACCGGATTCTGTGAAACTGGTTGTGACGTTGAAACTGGACCCTGGGAAACCGGTTGTGCCGTTAAAACTGGACTCTGTGAAACCTGTTGCGACGTTGAATCGGAGATTGAAGAAGTAGGTTGTGACGTTGAAACTTTACTTTGGGAAACTGGTTGTGACGTGGAAACTGGACCCTGTGAAACTGGCTGTGACGTTGAAATGAAGCCTTGTGAAGTAGGCTGTGTCGTTGAAACTGGACCCTGTGAAACTGACTGTGACGCTGAAACGAAGCCTTGAGAAGAAGGCTGTGCCGTTGAAACTGGACCCTGTGACACCGGATGTGCCGTTGAAACTGGACCCTGTGACATCGGTTGTGCCGTTGAAACTGGACCCTGTGACACCGGTTGTGCCGTTGAAACTGGACCCTGTGACACCGGTTGTGCCGTTGAAACTGGACCCTGTGACACCGGTTGTGCCGTTGAAACTGGACCCTGTGACACCGTTTGTGCCGTTGAAACTGGACCCTGTGACACCGGTTGTGCCGTTGAAACTGGACCCTGTGATACCGGTTGTGCCGTTGAAACTGGACCCTGTGAAACTGATTGTGTCGTTGAAACAGGTGATGCACTGGAGGTGGGAGTGTATTGTGGTAACGAGGTAGTCACGGTCGTCTTGGTTGTCGTTGGCAAGGGAACCATATCTGTAGGAAATATATTAATTTAGTTATCAAAGCCAGATATTTATGTAACTAAGCAGGTTCTTTTAATCAGTCAACAATGTAACGTCAACTACGACCATACATATTTGTATATATTTCAACTCGACAGAGACAGATGTAATGCTGACCATTCGTTGGTCCGAATCACAGAATGTGGTCATTTGTTTGTCAGCACCATAAGTTTCTAGTACGTGAATTATAATTATACAGTATATGTTTTACATTTACTTATATAGAAATGTTCACGAAACATAGGCAGATATTACACCACATCATATTTCACGATGAGCGTGGGGTGTGTGGTGTGTGGTGTGGGGTGTGGGGTGTTGGGTGGTTTTGGATATAAAATGTAAACTCCAGATAACCATTGGTGTCAATTATCCGCCGATTCTATTGGGTGAAAAGTTAAAATAGCGGTGCCAATTATATGAATGGATCACTGAAAATCAGTGATGACACCAGGTGTTCGCGAAATGTGTAATCATGTCCTGTCTTACCGATTGCACGCGCGATTCATACGATTTGCATAAAAAAGTAAGTATTTAAAGCCTGATGGCGCACAGCGCTAATCTTGCAATGCGGCGACTGCCTGTAAACAAACCAGACAACCAATTCAAGTGATCGATGGACTAGAAAACGCAGTGACACGAAAGTGCATTTACTGATTTTGTTGAAGAAATAAAAACGAAATGAATTTTGAATCAGGTCTGCTGTGTACATGTTCATAATTTGACATTTAAATTGCATTAAATCTGTCTCTTGTACAACTTACAATATGTCAGGAATAAATTGATTTACATATCAATCAATATTCCTCTGACAGGTTGCATAAAATAATTATTGATATATAATCACTACGACCTCCGGTTTCTTCATATTTATGCACAACATATACTTGTTTCGATTTATTTCGTGTTTTGAAGGTTTCTTTCTGGAATTAATGTTTGATAATGTACCATATGTTGAAGCAGATTGAATGGTGAGTACCCTACCGTATTCACAGATGTAGCTGTAGTGTTGGGGCCAAAGATGACAAGCGTGGTCCTCCCAGTGGAAGTCCTTGGTGCTCTTCATCAGCACACAGTCTTCTATTCTATGAAGCAGACTGGGCTCACCAGGTGCCCAGTACGTGAAATGCGTAGGCTCGCCTGAAGAGGAAAGTGAGGCTGTGAGTGCGTGCGTGCGTGCGTGCGTGCGTGCGTGCGTGAATTTGGTCTAACGCCCATTTGAACAGTATTCCGGTTAGGATATCACGGCGTGTCAGCTTAATGTAGGTGGAAATCCCGGAGTGACACAAATATGAGAGACGCTGCAACTTTGAACCGTAAATATCGACGTCGTAAACGACTGTCCCACTCTGCCCTTAATTTGAGTTCCCTCTAATGGATCAAACAGTTGACTACCTCAAATATCAAAACATCGACTACCTCGAATAGCAAAACATCGACTACCTCAAATAGCAAAACATCGACTACCTCGAATAGCAAAACACAGTAGGTTTATTAAATTTTCCATTCCTAAGTGATGGTGTCTGTAGACATGTCCTACTTAGAATGTGACAGAGTTATAGAGAGTCACGTTTGAGATATCAGGAAACTATTTAGACTCAATTTGGCTGTTTGTTAATGTATTAATCGCCTCACTATTGAATCGGTACAATGATCGGGGGTACGGATGGACCAGTCGTCTAAGGCGCCGCAATTCGCTGTGCGGAGTTGGGGCCGGTGCGTCAGAAATTTATGATTGCGGGTTCGAATCCCGGTTCGCCCCGATTATGTTTCTAGGTTTGTCAGCTCCATACCAAAGTGGTAAACGTTTGAGACCTGCAACACTTCGAGTTTTCCTCCCACATTATGCTGACACACCGTGATATAACGGGAATACTGTTAAGAGCGGCTTTGAGACTCACTCACGGTATAATTGTCATGTTCTGATGAAGAATAGCACTGTTGTAGTTGACCTGACTGTAGATGTCTAAAGCCTGATACAATACATTCTTTGCAACAAGACAGCACGGATTGCCCAGGTATCTAATACACCGAGTATACCCCAGGGCATAAAATGTACATATACATTACATGAAGTCAGTTGACTAAAATTAATACTCGCTGCTGTGACGACGCGTAATTGTTTTTTTGCAAGAAATTATATACAGTGAGATGATTAATTAACTCCGAAACGTGCATAGTTTATTAATGACAGTGCAGGATGTGACACAGTATGTTTGACTACTTACATCCAGTGTATAAAATGATAATAAAAAATACGGGGCTGCATCAGAACCAACATACCTGAAAAGCTGCAATCCCTGACGAAATTCACCAAACCCACATTCACAAAATACTGCAGATTATTGTGACAAATAAATCGACACATAAATTTACTACAGGAACTACCTGCCAAGGGCTTACGAGCAAGTACTGATGTCGAACACTGCTAACATCGCTGCAATCAATGCATGTCTGTGCTGGACATTTAGGGAGAGTGAGTGAGTTGGTTTAACGTAGCTTATAAGTCAGTTATATCTGGTCAGCGTGAAGAACCCCTACAGTCATGTCGTAGAATTTAATTATTTTGGTGAAACTAACCTGCCCGGGTATGGTGCTGACAAACCAAGAATTCTAAACAAGGCGAATTAGAACCTACGATCATTGGATTCTTGCACGTCTAGGGGACACAACTCTTAACAGCGGCGCTTTAGACGATCGAGTGCCTCTGGAAAGGCTCTTTTGGTACATTTGGTAGATTAGAACTACGTGTGAACAATTTACATAAACTGAAGATACCGACACGTGTCTTTAGATTTTAGCTTAGATTAAGCTGATGAATTTAATATCTATTTAGTGGCATCATTTTTCATAAGATTCTACATTTTGTAGGAAAAGCAGAATAGCTTCGTGGGAGGGGCGTCGTCCCGCATGACATGCCCACAAACTTCAGTAATCCGAAAACCTCCTTCGCTGGAAAATATCCTTTGTGAATAAACATATTTCAGCCAGCTTGGATTATGATTTATATGTATACTCCCCAGGGAGACTGTCGGACCATCAGAACAGTAACTCGAAGCGCGAACAGCAAGCAAGCAAGCAGGAGCCGTCACATCTAACCGTTTGACGCTACGATGTCCGTAACAGCTGACTTGTATGGGTTTTTACACAACGGTAAGACTCGGCAATCATTTGTTTTTTCGTTTGTTGTTTAGTTTAACGCCGCGATCAGCAATATTAAAGCTATGTGACGGAGGTCTGTAAATGATCGAGTCTGGACCAGACAATCCAGTGATTGACCTCACGAGAATCGAGCTACGCAATTGTTTCTCTTCCCCAGGTTTCTGTTAAGAATATTGGAAGATCCACTTTTTTACATGACAGTATCAGACTAAATCGTGTCAAGGTGCGCCTAACAGATGGGAACATGTTTTTCTACACGTAATTTTGGTACAAACAGAGGAAACAGTTTACTATCCTGATCGAATGATTCAATATTTCATGTTCAATAAATGGTGAAACATGTGATTTTATCATATAGAACTCGACGAGTAAACAGTTTGTGATTAAACGCCCACCTGGCAGTAAAATTCTGTCAATTAAATAGTTAAAACTTTAGCAAAATGAGAAGGCTATTCATTAAGCGGTGTACATGAAATAAAAATAAAAATATTATACTTTAAAGAAAATACGTACATCCTCCAGTTACAAATCTACATTCCAAAATACACCATATTTACCAATTTCTAAAGCAAACAACGCTGACATTAAGAGTAAAAATAATCAAGTATTTTATGGCCTACGATATGGAACAGTAGTATATACCCATAGTGTAATTTGTTGCGAGAGAAAAACTTTTAAAATATATGCAAATTCTACAGCCCGATGAAAACTCTAAACAGTAGCATGGAAGGAGTGTGTATACTTATTCTCCCAACCTTCGCCTTAATTATGTACAACACTGCTGACATCACCATGAGGACATGAAAGACATCACTACCGGTGAACGATGTTTACAGAATAGCGTGTTCACTGACAACAGTTTCTTTGAATTAGGGATCGTATATTCATAAATGAGTCATCCAAGTTATCAGAATCAATCGGACAATATTGTTGTCTGTGTCAATGTCTTCCTTTGTAACCAAGAGACTGGATCGAAAATGAAGATAAATACCGCCGTCGGTGTGCGTGCTTTTGCAAAAGGAATTACGTCACGGGTAAACTGAAACTTTGACAGTTTCTGTTGAAAAAACAAATCAATTTTATATCTTTTTTATATCCCCAACTCTTGCTGTGATAACCAGCCCAATCATATTGTCAATAATGCAACCCGAGGTATGCAACGAATAGACGAATTGATTTTTCAAAATAGGAGAAGAATTAATACTGCACATAAATGTTATCACGCGAGTGTGTTTTGGAATGGTAGATATCCAGTATTTGGAGTGGTAGACATCCAGTATCAGGAATAAACATTGTATTTCGCGAGCCTTGGCGAACGAGCGAAAACATAGTGTTCATTTCTTATACAGGACATTTATCATTCCATAAGGGTGCTGCCCAAACGTGTAAAATGTCCCAGTTCCGTCTCAGTTAGATACCTATTTTCAGTTTCTTAGACCATTGGTTTGATTATCAAAACCCTTATCGCCGTCGTCTCTCCATATTCCCGATGGTTGATTCTGAACCTTTTATATTTGCATCTTTATCCGTATATGACCCTAACGGATACCGTCTTTATCCGTTAGTTTTATCCTACCAAGAAACCTAATCATTATATGATAAAATCACAGAACAGAATTTCCCGCAGAATTCAGAATTTCAAAATATTTTCATACGCGTGATGTAGACACAATTTTATAGATAACAACTTCTTCAATAATGCAAAAAGCGACGTTTCGGTAAAGATCCTTATACCGTTGTCAAGCAAGGACCTTGTAGCGATATTAACTACATAAATGACAATCCGTTATTATTTTGCCTTGTCAATGTGAAACTAAAGTGAAAAGGAGTCATTGGCAAATGCTTATCAGAAATTCAATTGATGCTAAGTTGGTTTTGAAGGGGGAATGAGTTGTCGTTGAAGCAAATGAGGTTGTCAATTGTATCGGCACTTCAAAGTATTCCAGACTGGCGTTATATTTGTCCACGTGTGAGTGCCCCTAGAATTTAGTGAGTATTTGCAATGTCGATTAACGTTATGCGTTTTAACATTTGCTTACGCCGTCGGTTCCAAATGAAATTTCCGGGCATCGAATAATCATTGCCACTCGGAAGTCTTAATATTTATCTCAGGCAAACAATATACAGACACCATTGTCTTGAAGTATGAGCGTGGCTCACCATTCCACCAGAGTATGACCTCACAAACACGATATGTATGTGTCTAAATGTATCGTTTAATTTTAAAAAGTGACAATCCGGCTCATAAAGAAACACGAAAACAGCGTTTTCACTATCCCCCATGGGGCAAATTAGAATTTGGTTGTTCATAGAGTATAAACTTCAAACAAGAGTCCTATAAAGCCTTATGAAGAGAGGGCCGCTTTATGTCACCAGCAAAAATGATTAAATGTGAAATTAACACACACAGAAATGGCCCCTTCTCTAGAAAAAATAATCAACCAATTCTCGAACTCAGTCTTGATAGGCATCTCTCAGATAAGCTAACTTCATTTCTTTCTGAGAAAACTTGTCCCCGTTGCAGACCCCGTTGTAACTGTGTATGCTCGAAATCTATAAACATGTAGCCAGGGAAGTAACCCTGGAAAATAATAGTTTACGAGACCAAATTTCGAACAGTCTTGACAAGTATCTAAGAGATAGGCATGTTTTCATTCATGTTTCTGAGGAAAGTTGTCCCCCATGGCAGACACTATGTAGTAAGTTGAAAAGCATGGAGCAAGGGCCATAACTCTGTAAAAGTTATTTTACGGCACCAATTTTCGAACTCAGTTTTGACAAATATATCTAATACAAGCTTGCAAAGTTTCAAGATTTTGAGAAAAAAATGTCACCATTGCAGACACTATGCTCTTAGTTGAAAAACATGAAGCAAGGGAAATATTTCTGTAAAAATAATGTTAAGGCACACTCAGTCTTGACAGGTATCTCTTAGAAAAACATACAAACTTTCATTCATGTAACGTCAGTAGTTTCTGAGAAAAGTTGTCCCCGATTCATTCAGTATGCACTAAGTTAAAAGAGCAAGAGCTATAACTCTGTAAAGATGAATTTAAGACTCCAATTTTCGAACTCATTCAAGTTCATGCCCAGTAATATCATTGTGTAAAATGTTATTCCTCTAACTTAAATAGTTTTAGAGAAAATAGCTGACGGACGGACGAACTCCGTTCCAAAATCACCCACCTCACTTCGTTTCATGGCATAATAGCTATCCACAAGACACACGCACAGTTGGAACAAGTCGTCTAGAAGATCAATGTATTAGTGGAATATAAATGTTATTGCCCCTCAGGCAATTGATTTTATAATAGCTTTCAATGATTAATCACAATCCTAGCCGCTCTTGTTAAAGAAGCTGTATTTTCTTCCAATACATGCACCGAGTTCAACTGCTTGTTCAAATCAAGAAACGCGAGTAGCGACCTCATTGGAAACCTGTTAAAATCAAATCCTCCACACTCATTCACTCATTCACTCCATATTTTCCATCCTATCCAATGAGAATTTAGTCCGGTTCCACAAAGTGATCTCAGCAATCGACTTGTCGTAAGTCTATGTTAAGGTGGGAGTTGCTTTTAGCAGAGAATTCCTATGATGTGGAAAGGGCAATTTAATGAAGTCATATCTTTTATGATACATCTCCTCCCTATGGAGATCTGAAAGCGTCCATAAACTTCGAAGGACGCGTCACGTAAACCTCTAAGCAAACCATAAGAACTTAGTCAAACTAGAGAATGTGTGGATTCTTGAGCCAATCTGATGTTAAAATAATGAAGAGTTTACCTGATACCCATTCGTAACTATTTTCAATGTTTGTATCGGACAAACCGATCCATATTCCGTGTTTTTGGAAGTCCATGCTCTTCAGTGTCTGTGCAAGAAACTGCTGGGTGGCCATATCGTTGATGGTAACCAGACGCCCGCCCTTGTGCTGACATTCCTTCTGAGCATCCAACCAGTAGGTCTCTCTGAAGATGGCAAACTCGTAACATCGTTCCCGGAATGAACGATAGTAGGTGGAACTTGCTGCGCCCGGACAACGACTTAAGTCATCGCTAATGGCTCCTGGAAACAATAGGGGGAAGTAATGGGCGAGTGAGTTTGGTCTAACGATTTTTAGCAATGTCCCTGTCATATTATGGCGTGGGACATCAGAAATGGGCTACTCACATTGCACCAATAATGGAATCAAACCTGGGCCTTCAGCGTGACGAGCGAAAGCTTTAACCACTGTACTACCTAATCGCCCCGGATGAATATGAATATATTTTCATGTTGCAGTTAACGGCAAAGAGACCTAAACATCCAGATGAAAAAATAATATTACGTTGAAATGAATGGTGGCCTAGTATGGCTTTATGCTGCTTTAAGTTGTTTCGAGACAAATTGTTATTTCCTTTTTTCCAAATGGTCTAACGACCAAATTTAGTCGCTGTATGCACAACATATCAAATATCTAATTTATTCATGTTATTATATTCAACATCAGATTGCCCCTAACGCATCTGTTGCCATGTATGAACGTACAAGCCACCACGTGGTGCACCAATGCCAGCGAATGCTGATGTACCAACAGATAGACAATAATCCATGTCAGGTGTTGGTAGGGTGAGGGTACCGTGTCACACAATCTGTTTGGTCACATTCTATGCACATAATCTACTTATGTACACCTTATAATAAGCTAGATGACTTGGGATTTACTCTGCCCTGAAGTATCACAGGAAGTCACTCGAGAGACATGCAAAGACAGATCCTATTTCGTTCAATTTCCGATTTGCCTTTTAGCATTTTGGCGACCCGGATGTACGTCGTGTCAGTGTAACCGTTTATTAGACATGTCATTTGTGTTTCATTAAGCATGATGTATGTCATAATATTCTGAGGATTAATCAACTTATGATGTTCATATAGTGTCTGCATACACCTACGGTGATGTAAAGGCATTATAAGTTTTAGTTGTGACATAGAATGATTTTGTGGTCGACACAGAAAATGTTGTTTGTCAACATGATGAAAATATTTTATGTGGGTATTATCAAATCGCTCTTGCGACCTGATTTCATTTAAAATGCTCAGTTGATAAACACACAGCTTAACATAAATGCCCTCCCCTCCCTTTTTATACAATCTGTGTCATTCCTTCATACGTAGCGTTCCCTTTGCAACTCGGCAGTGTATGCACGCCCTGTGAAGTATTGGCGACGTCATTGGCTATGGTGTATGTTTGTTGTTTAATGCCACACTCAGCAATTTTCCAGCTGTATGAAAGCGGCCTGTAAATAATCGAGTTTGGACCAGACAATCCAGTTATTGATATTGAGAGCAACGATCAACACCATCTGGGTACGATGTCATGCAGTTAGTCAATTCACCGAGCCTCACCACCCGATCAATGACTCCCATCTTACGACCGCATAAGTTGCTGGGGACCCATCCTAACCCGGAACTCCCACGGTGGCAGTAACTACGAGTGGGCAAAGGTGGTAAAATCATCCGAGGCGCCGAAATTCATAAAACAGACAGAGTTGCACCCTTTAGTTATATCAGGATCACTGAACGTATGGTCGAATCCATAATTAAATTATTGTCCTTGGTTCCCTAATCTCACGCGTTGGTTAAACGAAAGAGGTAAATGTCCATAACATTCGTCACTTTGGTCTTTCCGTCCACATTTAACTATGACGTCATGATGGAATACTGTTCAAAGCGGAATTTATCTCACTCAATAATTGGTTATGAATGATAATGTCCTCAATGTCGTACATACCAGTCACGAACAGACACAATCCAAGTACAGTCCTCAGATCAACCATAGTAGTTGAGATGGAAACACGTCTTATCTCCTGAGCGGGTCAAATATCATTTTGTAATATAATCTGATAGCTATTCCTGCCATTCAAAGGTCAAGGTGTTATCTGTAAGAGATCCAATGAAGGTCAGGTAAACCTGACCAATTTAAAAACACAGAAGACGTTGCTATCGCCATTTTCTTCTTCAAGGTCTGTTTCACATGCAAAATCTTACCAAGTTTATTCAAGTGATTAAAAAATGAAGAGATGTTAATCAGTCAAGGAATTGAATCCCAATGCTGTGACCCTAACACAGAGTTTTCGAGCCTGCCCCTCATTGCTTATCAATTCTGCCAAGGCAAAATCAGATTGGACCAATCGTCTTGCATCCTTATTGTTTCGAATATGTATACCTATACACAAGTTTCATAGCAAAACATATCTGTAAAAATGTAAACCCTCCCTCCACTTTTTTATGAAATATTTGGATGATAATCTTGTATTTAATTATTGTGGCCTAGAGATGATGATGAAAATATACTTTATGTAGACTGTCCTTATCTCGTTCTTTATGCTTCAGTTTTCAGGTGATTCTAAAATTACTTGGGGAAAATATATTATAGCTGCAGTGGAAAGAAAATGAATTATTACATGTAAATTAAGGTATTACTACACAAGTGTGTTCGATCCCTGGCCGCGTCATACCAACGGACGACAAAAGATGGTACTTGTTACCCATCCTGGCGCCCGGCAGTAAGGGGCTACAGCAAAGACTGGTCGGCATGGTGTCAGTCTCCTGTGTCTGAGTGAGGTATTCATGTTAAACTGCAGCATAGTATCTCGGTGGGCTTGCACTATAACATTGTCATTCGTCCGGACAAGCACACACACACACACACACACACACACACACACACACACACACACACACACGTGCCTCTGGAGGTAAGCTACATCATTAATATCTGGGACAACCCTTTTTTATCTCTTCATAAACTTTCCTGTCAGGTGATGCAGCAAGCCAAGATCAATAGGTCTGACTACTCATACAACATGCGTAGACATTATTCTTAAGATTACTGTATGCTTGAGCTTCATGACTCGTTGTCGAGTCCAAACTGAAGATTTGTACCACGTCTAGGACTGGTGGTCTTGAGGTGTTCAGCAAACGATTCTCGACCTGCAATGGTAATTATAAAAGAAATGCATTATCTTAAATAGAATGTGAAATCAACTTAACTTCAAACTCTTTATGGTAGACATTTTCTGTAACTTATTTGAAATGAAACTATGGCAGTACTAAATACTTGCAATCATATAAAGTGAGTGAGTGAGTGAGTGAGTGAGTATGAGTTTACGCCGCTTTTAGCAATATTCCAGCAATATCACGGCGGGAGACACCAGAAATGGGCTTCACACTTTGAACCCATGTCGGGAATCGAACCCGAGTCTTCGGCGTGACGAACGAACGCTTTAACCACTAGGCTTCCCGATCGCCCCGCAATCATATAAAGGTGTGAATATACCCTGTATAAGATTAGGGTTAAATATTTATATTATATATTAAATATATTAATAACGAAAATCCGTGAAGTTGCTGCTGGTAACGCAAAGAACTGCCTTTTGGAAAGGAACCAGGATTTGTCGATACTGTAGGTAGATGACCAGGAAGAAATGTCAATAAAGGAAAAGAACTGTCCAGAGATCGCAGTGATGATGCATGCTCTGTAATGACGATTCTTCTTTCCTAGTCTGTCCTCTCGCCTGCAGCAATGTACTGTCTTGTCTCTGATCTTGTTGCAAAGTCTTGGTAAGACGTCTTTGCTCAACATACTGGTACCGACTCCCTTCATAAGATCTTGTAGTTAGCCAGTTGATACAGCAGACCCACAACATGACCACAGTAACCACACTGTCCTATAGTCCAGGAACAGCATGCCCTGAGAACTGTCCCACTGTTGGTCTTTCCAACAAAGAATCCCAAAACAAATATTTGTTAAATACTTTGTTTTAAATTGAAGTACGTGATTTGCAGAGTAAAATAGCACTTGGACAGTGTTACATGTAATTGTTAATGGAACCTAATACCATTCATTGGGCACGGGTGGCCCAGTCGTCTAAGGCGCCGGTGATTCACTGAGCAGAGTTGCGTCCCTTGGGCACGCCAGAAACCTATGATTGTGGGTTCGATTCCCGGTTCCCCCCTATTATGTTTCTAGGTTTGTCAGCACCATACCCGGGCTTGTGGGTTTCACCGAAGTGGTAAACGTCTCAGACCTGCATCACTTCGGTCTTTCCTCCCACATTAAACTGACACGCCGTGATATAACTGGAATACTGTTAAAAGCGGCGTTAAACCCAACTCACACACATAATACTATTCATAGAACAATTCATAGCATAACCTTTAGGATATGTATACACAATATGTTCCTCGTTTCAATGTGTGAGGGTTAGGAATGAGAGTATTCATATATTAAGTAAACAAAAGCGACAAAAACCTTTCCATATTCATAAGAAATATCTGTCACAATTGTACGATTCCAACTGTATCATGTTATAAAACAGTATCAAATTGTGATGATACCAGGTGTTCTCGACAAGTTGAGCGTGTCTACCATTAAGGATTTCTGAGGCCTTGAACGTTGTAATGTTGAATGTTATAAAACAGTATCAAATTGTGATGATACCAGGTGTTCTCGACAAGTTGAGCGTGTCTACCATTACGGATTTCTGAGGCCTTGAACGTTGTAATGTTGAATGTTATAAAACAGTATCAAATTGTGATGATACCAGGTGTTCTCGACAAGTTGAGCGTGTCTACCATTAAGGATTTTTGAGGCCTTGAATGTTGTAATGTTGAATGTTATAAAACAGTATCAAATTGTGATGATACCAGGTGTTCTCGACAAGTTGAGCGTGTCTACCATTAAGGATTTCTGAGGCCTTGAATGTTGTAATGTTGAATGTTGAATGTTGAGAAAGAGCCGTATGACATTCTTGAAGTCTTGGTAGAAAGAGCATACTCCATTGTACCTCAAAAGTTGTGAAACGAACACCAAGGGCTGGACCTGCGTGAATATTGCTGGACATGAGGAAAAGTTGACTATTGGAAAGTTGAAGTCATCCTTCTTGTCATATACAGTCTTGTTAAGAGTGATTTGTCACTCTGAATATTCATGCATAGATCTAAATATGAAATAGATGATGCGGTCTCACTGGCGTCCTTTAGTTCTAGTTCAGGTTGTCTATCTGTTTGTTATTGAACGATATCAGATCATCGATATACCCGAGACTGTAAAAATTCAAGCAAATCTTTTGAGTTTTTGAGAATCCACATGGTATTAATTCCACTTGTCGCAAAACTTTGTGTCAATTTATAGAATGCCCTCTCTTGATTGTATTAAAGGATTATGATTCATTTTTGAGACATGGATTTGGTTGTACATTTGCTGGACCCAGCAATATATCTCTCTTGGTAGAGTTGTTTATGGAGCTTTGGACAAAATCTACAAAAGAGGAGGGGACAAGAGGTTTTAAAGTCAAGTTGATAATACTGACGCATGGTTTTGGTGGGTGTCTTCCTCAGTTAACGTACTGGCCTTTTATGTGCAGTGGCATTATTTGATATGTCATTTATACCAAATCCTTTGATCAAACAATTACTGTAGTGATGCTTACATATCATTGTTCTGTTATTTGACGTCGTGCCAGTAGGAACAACTATAAACTGTTCATGTAGGGTAGCCAGACGTTGAGGTGAGGTGAGGTGAAATTGGGTTTAACGTCACGTCCAAGATTATTGCACTTATATAGCGACGTGCATGCACGTTTGGGTGTGTGTGTGGCTGCTTGTACTAGTCTGGACTGATGCCGATTTATAGTGCTTGCTCACTGAGATACCATGCCGCAGATTAACATGAATACCCCACTCAGACACAGTATACTGACTCCGAGCCGACCAGTCCTTGTTTCAGCCCCTTAATGCCGAGCGCCAGACAGGGTAACAACAAGTAGCTGGGACAGAATGGGTTTGTTCCATTTTGGTTTCCTCTTTTTGAGTTTGTGCATTCGACCAAGGACAACACCACGCACTGATGTAACCCACTCTGAAAGACATTCAACGGGTTCTTCTTCTCTTTCGGCCCATTCATTGGCATATGCTTTGACAGCATACATAATGATTTTAAAGTTGTGATCCAAGTTGATAGGAGGCTGCTCACGATATTTTGGTCCATATTTGAATAACTGACGAAGGTTGTTATTGTCAATAATGTTGAAATCATGTAATTATATGACCTACATAATTGGGGGAAGAAAGGTTTTTGCAGTTGTAAAATGATCGCTCTTTTTTTTGTCTGAACCATCAACTTAACAGCCCTCTGTCCCCTGCACATTATCCAACCATCCGTGCCAAGCCTGTTCCCATACTAAGCCATGTCGTTACCGTTAACTGTTGAGTAAAGGGGAGGCCGCCTCTAACAAGCTTTATTGTACCCATCAATAGCGTGCCTAGCATGTTGAGAATAAATAGCCTTCCTGTTGCTCTAAACATTAATTAACAATTAATCAAACTTTGACAGCAAACAACAAATGTTATTAAGTTTTATATCATCTTACTATATCAGTTTAATCCTACTTGTTTTGGAGATACTATGAAATAAATCAACGTTTCTTTTGAGCGAGCTTGAACCATAAAAGCTAACAATCAACAAACGATAACAACAAGAGTGTCAAGAATTCCATGATGTATTATGGGCCGATAGCAATTTGACTGAATAACATTTGCTATCTTCACCAACTTCAATATGTTGATCTGACTTCTATGAAATCAAAAGGAGATAATAATGACAGTTCAGTGGTATTAGTTGTTTGCATATATATGTCCTCAATCTATACCTTGCCTTGTTGATAAGTAATGTAAACAAGACCAAAGGTGTCTGTAAATGTAGTATATGATATACGTATAACTCATAGATTATTCTCTAATATATTATTAAATTCAAGTCCATATATTATAATTAAGTTTACAGAAAATACCACTTCAACACTGAAAACCATTTGTAATTCATAAACATTATTTTGGGAAAATAATAGTTCTTGTTTTTCGTTGACTTTACATCAACATTATAAAATTACATAAATTTGGATTTCGGAAATAGATTCGCCTAAGTAATACATTCTCGTCTCAGTTAGGTTATAGCATTAACATAAAACTGATAGATGCATTTCAAATGACCCACCATGCTCTTGTGACACTTCATATGATAATATTTGTCATTACTTATTTGTACATGCGTGTCCATATTACGCCATTATTAGAATAAATATGTATTATTATAGACATGGTAATGATAATGTTGAAAAGGCTGTACAGGAAAACATAGAAATAACTTAATCTGCAGATACATTTATTCCGCATCTGATAATTTATTTATTTATTTATTTCAATTATCTTCTTATAATCTAATGATTGATTTATTGCGTAACTGATATTATCGAATTGGAATCTTGTTTTAGCAAATATTTAAAATTAATTGTTTACATTTGGTATGTCATGCATTATATTTTCAACTTTTTGTATTGGAGCGGCATCAAGGTAATTCATTTAATTATGAAATATATATGTTTGAAATATTTCAAATGTTTATGAAGAAAATCGTATAAATAAGGTATAATGTATAACATGGTATAATTTATAGTCCCTATGCTTATAAGTAAGCTTGTAATTGTTTTTCAAAATTGAATGCATCCTAGAGTAACGTGTTGTCTGCTGTACCAGTTAGAGCCCGCTGTCAACAATAAATCACCGACAGGCCCGAGCTGGGCAGTGGGGAGCTGTCAGGCCAGTGGAATGCCCTTCCGCAGGGTTCACAGAAAACCATCCTGTTCACGTTTGAGCAAAATCTTTACCCTGTTCCCCATAGTGTACATGTTGGTAGCAGAATGATGACTCCTGGCAGCCACAAGTTATTGAAGTTACATGACGAGCTGCCATTTGGTGTGTTCTATCTCACCACATGAAATGAGCTTTCGTCTCACAATATCCCAATAATTTACATAATAATGAACATGTTTTAATAAAGTGCATATCATTTGGCATTGAGTCAAACATGTGCAAACTGGGATGCGATGCCATGCATCAAGCATATCAGCAAGGCTGACCACCCGATCTCGTTAGCCGCCTCTTACGACAAGCATAGTCGCTGTTTTTTGTGACTCCCCCACCAACCCACTCACCACTACGCCCATGTTTAGCTGTTAAACACAACCCTAAAACGTGTTAAAATATGGGATAAGGAAAGTGTTTAAAATCTAAACACATTTTCTTTACAGTGTGCGTCTCAAAGTAGACACAATTTATGGAAAACAACTCCTTCTTTTTACTTTAATGGCGTCGTGTCGGTATAGATACTTTTACCGTTGTCAGGAAAAGTGTCCAAATTGTCTTTACTTGACAACGGTACAAGGATCTATACCAACACATCGCCATTACAAAATAAAGACGTTGTTATCTATACATTGTGTCAACTTTGTCATCCGTCAGCTTCCAGGAAATGCCAATCAAACAATTCAGTGTGCGTCGAAGGTTCGAATCAGATACGCCCACACTATGATCCGTTGTCTGTCAGTACCCTGTTAGTGGTTTAAACAAGGGGACAAAAGCCTGCATGCATCCCTGTAGGCTTTCTTCCCACACTATTATGACACTGAAGTAGCGTTCAAAGTTATCTTAACCCAAGCTGTTTACAACAGGAACGTCATATATTGCGGCAACATCCTGCATGATTCTAAATATTCATAGTCTTTGCAACACATAACATACTGTATTGCTATGAATAATTCATATCATTTGGGTTATAATTGCAAACTCGTTCAGCAAGACGAAACGCAGTGAACGATACACGAAAAATCAATACACAAATCAACATTGAATTCAATGGCGACTATCGATGATTGGTCGATTGCCATTAAGAAGGGTATGAGGGGGAAATCATTGCAGTTAATAAACGGGTGTCTGTGAGAGTACAAGAGAGATGGGTGCGGGTGTATATACGTTGTTCTGCGTGTTGACAATCAGTTCTGTGTATTGGTAAGTATATAAATACTATTTCACGCACTCGATCAAATATTGTGTATATTTCTGCTCTGGAAATTAATTTGAACTTTAACGTTCACCTATATGCATGTCTTGTTTGCCTCAAAATATGTAATGCTCACTGCTATAAGATGTTTTCAGACCCGTGAAGGTCCGGGATGGAATTGGAATTCGGGAACCGATGCTTATCTTGAGAGGAGACTAACGGGATCGGGTGGTCAGGCTCGCTGACTTGGTTGATGCATGTCATCGTATTCAAATATTCCAGCTTTACGGCGGTCTGTAAATAATCGAGTCTGGACAAGACAATCCAGTGATTTACATCATGAGCATCGATCCACGCAGTTGGGATACGATGATATGCATCAAGTCAGCGAGTCTGACCACCCGATCCCGTTAGTCGCCTCTTACGACAAGCATAGTCGCCTTTTATGGCAAGCATGGGTTGCAGAAGACCTATTCTACCCCGGAACTTCACGTCAAACTGTGTGCATCAGTTGAAATAGCCAAAGCTTAATATTGCGTGAAGATATGTTGAATGAAAAACGTCCATTGTCATGTGACATACAATGCCAACAAACAACATGTGACCAATAATCAGAGACAGGTCACTCGCCAAAAAGAATCTGACGCATCATGCTCCCTATCAGCTCTACTAATCCCACCCCAAATCATGATCGAGTTCCTTCCATACCAGTCATATTCGGCTACGTTGGAATCCTGAAGTCTTTCTCCTTGTCTACGCCACATTCGGGCACAACTATCTGTAAAGATAGACAGTATCTCGATTCATCAGTGTAAAGAATTGGAGTTTGACGTGATCTTCAGCCCAATCCAAACGTACAGTACCTGCCCGTGATATCCGGTCAGTGGGATGCGAATGCATACCCTTAGTGACCGGAGACCTGTCTGTCTGAGTAGACACGTTATCGCCACTGGATTTCCACATGTCATTTCTGAGTGTGGTGGCAGTCACTAAGTGATAATGTCTTGCTGCAATAAGGGGAAACCTGTCTTCCCGATGTGTGACGGAACGCTGTCAACCATCTGCGTTGTGCTGGGAAGCTGATCCAAACGTCTGGTATCGATTCCATTACCCTGCTGATCAGCTGTCTATCTGATCACACACTGGCTGACACCAAAGATGTTTGCAACACGACATGCTGTTGACTCAGTCTCAAACATGACTACGCATCTGCCTAATTCTTTGGTCGCCAAACAACTTCTTTGCTACTGAGGATGCTCTTATGACCCCTCAGCGTCAAATAGTATATTTTTCTCTGATGATGATGTGCAACGATTCTGTCACGATACATCTAAACGCAGGTTTTAAAGCATCCCGTGTACATCGTGCCCATGCCTACATGCCTCTGTCCATTCATCATGAAACTGAGGTTCTATAGGGGTAACCCAATCATTGTGTACCGGAATATTTCAATTAAATTTTGTATTTGTTGGATGATTTTTGGATACCATCACAACTTGATCCTTAGCAAACTTTGAGTAGTATAAATATATATTTCGTGGCGCACGGGTGTCCCAGTAGTCTAAGGAGCCACAATTCGCAGAGCTATGTCCCGTAGGCATACTAGAGACCTATGATGACGAGTTCGTATCTAAACGACATGCATCCCGTCAGGCTTCCCACATCATTATTCACCACGTGAATAACTGACTGAGTATTTTACAACGGTATAAAACCTTACACACTCACTCACAGTCGGATAGGGGCGGTGTCCCCCGCCGTGATATTGCTGGAATATTGCTGAAAGCGGCGTAAAACCAAACTCACTCACTCACTCACTCACAGTCGGGTTCCAGACTACCTGTGTATCTACATGAGTGAGTGAGTGAGTTAATATTTAACGTCACATCTGCAATATGTCAGCCATACCGTGACGAGAAGTTAAACTAAATTAAATATACATATATTTAGACTTTATAAAAACCTGCCATCGAAGGACAGTATGATAACTATAATATCACAGAAAAGATTTAAAACTAGTTGAGAAACATTTAAAAGCAGAAAAAATAAGTTAACAATACCATATAAAAATGGGCAAGAGATCGTCAGTAACTAAAGGGAGATCACCATACCAGGGACCATGGGGACTTACAGTACCTTTGTTTCCTGCATGGACACTGGCAGGATTTATATCAACCCTTCAGTCACTGGCGATAGTTTACAAGTTAAGCCTTATATTTAAATGACAAAATTCTGGCATGCATAAAAATACTTTGAATGATGTGGGACTTCCATACCCTCTTGGGACAATAATTTTACGCTACTTCAACCCCCCTCGAGGGTACAGCCACTAACCATCTAAGTTATGAATTTGCACTACCAATTTATAAAATAATAAATTAAGCACATCAAAATTTGTGAACAGGTTCGATTCCTTTTAAAAAACCTGATATTAAACGAGAATTAACATTATTAAAATGGTCCTTAATTGTTTTAACACTGAAATATTTATTCCTTGTGATTGAAAAATCAATACAGTCAAGCAGGACATGCTTGACCGTGATTGTTTCATCACAAGGGATACAAAACTGAGGATCCTCACCTTTTGATAAATACTCATACGTATATCTCGAATGGTCAATACGGCATCGTCGTAAAATGACATCTTGACTGACGTTCAAGACCAAGTAGGTGTAACCAATATTTGGTTTAATTTCATGTAATTTATTGAAACCTACTTGAGTGTCCAACTTCTTTTGCATCAGATCACGGATGTAAGATCTAATTACAGGTTTATAATCGGTGTAGGGGATTAGAAGTGGTGTCACAGATTTGTTGAGAGCTGCTTTTGCAGCAACATCAGCCATTGTGTTACCAGTGATACCAACATGGCTTGGTAACCAACAAAAGACGATGGTCATATTGGCAAATAGCAAGATCATTAATTGATTAGCGAATTTGGATTAAAAGTTGATGTTTGGGTGACATATTTTTAATCGCCTGAAGGTACAAAAGAGAATCTGAAAAAATATGAATTGTTTATGTTTAGATTGGTAACTGACATATTTTAGTGCTGCAAAAATGGCGTTTGCTTCTGCAGTGAATATGGAACTGTTATCAGGTAATCGTGAAGATATTGTTCTGGATCCAATGACAGTGGCACTAGCAACTGCGCCACCATCCTTGGATCCATCTGTAAATATAGATTTATAAGTGTCGTAAGTGCTTCTTAGTTGATGGTATTCTTGTTGGTAAATTAATTGGTTAGTATCTGATTTCTTTAGTTTTGTTAATGTCAGGTCTACCTCTGGCTTTACCATTTGCCAAGGAGGAGATGCGAAAAGTTGAGTAGGAGCTATATCTTGGAGTTTAATATTAGAAGCTGATATAGCAGATTTTATTCTGATTCCAAGTGGTGGAGTGAGTGTTGATTTCTTATTGTAAAGATCTTCGTAGGGAGGATTGAATATGCATTCAAAAGCTGGATTTGACTGATTAGAACATAATTTAGTGATGTATTGTAAAGATAATTTTAGACGGCGTTGTTTAAGAGAAGGCTCATCTGCTTTTATATATAGACTGTGAATGGGAGACGTTCTAAAGGCTCCAAGGCAAAGCCTCAGGCCTTGGTGATGTATATTATCTACTTACTTTTGCAGGCTCCACCATAGACGATGGAGCCACAATCAAGTTTTGAACGGATCAGTGACCGGTATAAGTGTAAGAGGGTTGTTTGATCCCCTCCCCACTTTGAAACAACTTTCAATAGATCGAGTGCCTTTAGGTATTTAGCTTTAAGGTGTTTAATATGTGGAAGGAAAGTTAAGTGGTTATCAAAAATAAGTCCCAAGAACTTGGTCTCCTTAACAACTTTGATAGGGGTGCCATTCAGAAATAGTTCAGGATCCTTATGTGGCTTATATTTTCTGCAGAAATGTATGCAATTAGTTTTTGATTTGGAAAATTTAAACCCTTTCTCTAGACACCACTTGTGAATTTTATTAAGACATAATTGTGATTGCCTTTTGTATTGTGTGCATATTTTTATCACGACAAGATATATTAAAATCATCCACAAAACGTGATCCATCAACTGAATCATTTAAAAATTTGGACAAACTGTTAATCTAAATACTGAATAAAGTCACAGACAAAATACTGCCTTGTGGGACACCCTGATCCTGATTATAGTGATCAGACAGGGTTGTACCCACTCGGACTTGAAATTGCCTGTCTGTTAAAAACTGTGATATAAAATGAGGCAAAATCATGAAGATCTTTTAAAATACCATGTTTCCATGTTGTATCGTAAGCTTTTTCTAAGTCGAAAAAGATCGATACAGCACGTTGTCTATTTACAATGGAATTTTTAATGAACGATTCTAAACGCACTAAATGATCGATGGTACTTCTGGTTTTTTCCGGAAACCACACTGGATATTGGTAAGAAGATCATTTGCTTCCAAGTACCACACTAATCGATTATTAACCATGCGTTCCATAGTTTTACAAACGCAGCTAGTAAGAGATATAGGTCGGTAATTTGATGGATCAGGATGATCCCGCCCAGGTTTGGGTATGGGGATAACAATGACATTATGCCATGAAGGTGGAAACGTTCCTGATGACCAAATATCATCGAATATAGTCAACATAGTTTCAAGACGTGATTCGGGAAAGTGTTTCAGTAGCTGATAATGAATATTATCAGCGCCTGCTGCTGTATCATGAGCTTGCCCTAAGCAGTATATAGCTCATATAGTGAAAATACTTCATTGTAATCTTTACCATTATCAGCTGTAAAATTTATTTTTTTCTATTCCTGTTGGAGCTGATATTTTTTAAATTCAGGAACGTAATTTGATGAAGACGAATGTTGAGATAAAGTTTTCCCAAGTCTATTGGCAATAGCAGTTTTATCAGTCAGTAAAGTATCGCCATCCTTCAGATGGTTAACTGTAGAATGTGATCCCTTGCCTTTAATCTTTTTAATCATGTTCCATACCTTGGACATAGGAGTACGAGAGTT